CTTAGACCTGACAAACGTATTATTTATGAATATATTATGAATGAAGAATTTAAATATATTCGTGTTATTGGTGCATTTTATTTAAGGCTTATTGGTTCTTCAAAAGAATGTTATCAATTTATTGAACCATTGTATTATGATTATAGACCTTTAAAATATAGAATCGACAGTAAACATTATGAAATTATTACAATCGATCAATTTGCTTGGAATCTTCTGCATTTGGACTATTATTGTGATATTACTCTTCCAATTATTACAACCCGTCCTGTAATAGAATCTCATGGAATTTTAACTCCAAGAATTAGTTTAATAAAACAACATTATTCAAAAGAAGAGTTCAATGAGTTAATGAAGACTGTTGATGTACAATAATTTCAGATTGGACTAATTTAGAAACAATTTTATTATTAGAATTTTTTTTTTAATTTATCAAAATCACAGATCTAAACTAAAAATTAAAAAAATACTTAAAACTATAGTGTATAATCGGGATATTAGGAAGAAATAAAAAAAAGAGAATAAAAAAAAAGAAAATTGAACTGAGTTTGTAAAAATTTCAATCAAAATGAGTGGCGAGACAGAAAAACAACGACCGAAAAGAAAGATGGTAATGATGAAAATGAAGATTGACCTTTCAAAGGCACATGATGTAAGAGATGCAACATTAAGAAATGATCCTAATATGGCCTTACCACCTAGTTTAAGAGTAAATAGAAATGAATTAAGTGAGATTGAAGATTGGCTATTCATTTCTGGAGAAATGACAGCAGCGGATCCAGAAATATTAGAGGTTTGTTTTATTTTTTATGTTATTAAATTTAATAATAAGTAACAAAGAAATAAAACAAGTTCATCTTCTTATTAGAAAACAGAAATTGGGTATATTATTAATGCGGCAATTGGAGTTGCAAAAACAGGATTTCCACAAAAATTTAAATATTTAGCATTTGATATGAGTGATGACACAGAACAAGATTTATCTAGTTTTATTTTTCATGCTATCGATTTTTTAACTAATTTAAGAAAAGCAAATAAAAAGAATAAATGTCTCGTTCACTGCCATGCTGGAATTAGTAGAAGTGTATCACTTGTTTTATCATATTTAATGTATGCAAATAAATTTACTTTTGATGAAGCATTAGCAGAGGTAAGAACAAGAAGAAGTGTAGCATGTCCAAATATTAGTTTTGAATTTCAATTAAAGAATTTTCAAGTATTATTACAAACACATAAACCATCTCATGTTGTTTATAGTAAATTACGCCCACATATAAATTCTAGTATTTATCCTATTTATATTGCTCGTGCTTTAACCGTTGGTTCAGAAAATTCTTTAATTGGAGAAAAAACAACAGTTCAAATGTTAACACCAGGAGATTCTCCATATTACCCATTAGATTCTATATTTGATTCAAGAGGATGTTTTGTTGTTTTTGCAATGGAAGGAAATGTATATATTTGGGTTGGTAGTTTAAGTCATCAAAATGAATTTAATGCATGTCAAACATATTGTAGCCAAATAGAACGAATTATTGGTACACCAAAACATACTGTTATTCATGAAAATGAAGAAACAGTTCAATTTCTTAAAGAAGCACATTTATATCCACCACAAAGAAAACTTCATTTACATAAAAGATATAATGTTGAATATCCAGTTATTAAAAATGAAAGGTTGTTAATTAGATATCCTGATTGGAGACTTTTAACTCCTCAAGAAGCTGATCAAGAAACGGAAACACCAATTATTTGTATTCAACCAAAAAACTTTTCACAAAATTCGTTTGGATTAGATATGTCTCACAGTAATTTTGCATCTGGTGATGCTTTTTCAACTCATCAAGAAACTCCACCTTTACAATCATTAGAATTAACAGACTCATCAAGTTATTTTTTCAATTCAACAGCAACAAGAGTAGATAGAAAAGAGACACAGGAATATTTAAATATAGTTAAAAGAACTGATAGCCCTAAAAAAAGATCTCATACGATTCTTAATGGAACTGAAAGTTCATTTACTAAACAAAAATATAACATAAAAAAATACAAAATGACTGTATTTATCCCTATGCACTTTCCTCGTTTTTCAACTATGCAAGGAAATAGATGTAAAGAAAATTTAGAACTTTTAAGTGAACGTGCTGATTGCGTACAAACAACAGGAAATATTGAAGTTGTTCAACAATTCTTTCAAAATTTTGGGTTGAATCCAGAAGAAGTTGAAACTGCGGTTTATTTTTCAAGTACCCAATTTGGTGTATTTGCAAAACAAAACCTGTGATTGTATTGTATTCCAACTAAAAATTAAATAAAATATTTTTTAAGTTTTTTTTTAAACCATTTCAATTATAAAAATTATTTTTTTATTCTTCGTTTGAACTATTTTCTAATTGTTCAATTGTTTGTTGAAGTTTATTTAATATTTTTGTTAGATATTTTGCATATTGTAATTGAGAATTTATTGGTTGAATAGATGTTATTAGTTTGTCACAAAATCTTAATAACTTTTCATTTGGCTCAGTCACAGTTAAAAGAGTATCAACAAATAAACCAATTCCTCGAAGTTTGTTGTTTCCAACTAATTCTTCATTAAGAACACGTTCTTTTATCATTGATATGATATTAATTAATAGATTTCCATTTTCTTCAATATAAGTAGTATCACCACTAAATAATGTATCATCAGATTCAACATTTTCTATATGATATAAAAATGATGGCATAGCAAAAGATACAATCATTTGTAATACTCCACATAAATATTCAATATCTTCAATATCTTTTCCAATTGGTATTTTCATTAATTGAATTGGAACTTCAAGAGGAGTATTATCAGGATATGCTAATGAAAGTCCCCATATTTCTTTTAATAATGTTCTTAATTGATCTAACTCTAATTCTTCTTTTCTTTCTTGAACTATTGAAAGTGCAATTTTCATAAACGCATCTGCTTGTGCAAATGATTCAACTTTTAATGAAACAGAGCATCCTAATACCGCTAATTTACCTATTTCAAATGGTGAATTTAATTCAAAGATTGTACAATAAACAAATGCAAGACTTCCTCTAACAAAAGATTTTCTTGTATCTTTTGAAGGTAATGTTTGTGAATAAACAGTTAGTCTTAAGGTTAAATGAATTAATAATGTTTTGATAGTAGTTGAATGAAAGAATGATTGTCTACAATCACTATAGAAAGTCATTTGACGATCAAGATTTTTGCCGAAATCTACACATTCTATAAAATACATAATAGCTCTTTCTGTTTCATGTGAAGAAGACATTCTTTCTATTCTTGTTTTTGAATCTAAATGATGTCCTAATCGAAGTAAAATTTGAATTGTTCGGATGTCATTTAAAGGAACTTTTCTTTCATATCTTAGCAATTCAATTTTAATAAATAATGGAGATGCTATACTCTCTTGTTGTTCAATACTTAAAAATTCAAACATTTTTGACATACCATCACAACTAAGAATACCACATAATTGTCTTCCAGTTAATGGAGCAATAGCATTTAATATTATTTTATCTAATTTATCAGCTTGTTTCGTTCCAAATTTATCAAGTTTGTTACCAATTGATCGTAAAACTCTGTCTAATGTTTTAATAGAACAATGACGAGCAGTACATCCAATAAGATCAATTGAAAATTTAATCATTTCTTCACTGGTATTAATATTAGAAGCTAATTTCCACATTTCAATATTAATGTCTTCTGCATTATCCAACTTTATTGCTTTTCCAAGTGCTCTTCCTAATGTACAAATAGCTTTTAATTTAATTTCTACTGTATTTGTTGTTTTATTAATTGCATTAAATAATGTAATTGCTTCATGTGATACTTCATTGGCAGTCATTCCTTTTATAATACCGGCAAGTGTTTGACTATCACTTGATAGAGATATGTATTCAGCTAAAGGTATTCCCATCTCACCTACAACACGGAATAAACAATGAGTGACTGTAGGATCACCAACTCCATTTTTGTTTTCAATATTAATTAAAGTTTGAAGTAAAGTACTCCATATAAAACCTTGTTTAGTCATAAACCAAACATATTGTTCGACTCCAAAGTTAATAGGAATAAATCCTATTTCATTGATGATGTTAGTTTGTTTTGTTTTGAGGTCATTTGTTGAAAGAAATGGTTTTATAAGAATTAAAATAACAGAATGAAGATATAAATTTGAAAGATGATTCTTTGTTACTGAATCAATTACTTCTTCGTAATTTGATAATAAGTTTAATTGGTCATTGGCATGTAATAAATATAATTTGTTTTGTAATTCTTTAGAAAAAGTTGAAAGAAGTGAAGTAATATAATCATGTAATGAAGCGTATACTGCTGGTTTTAGATTAATACATAAACTATCAATTAATGGAGCAAGAATATTAATAATTTTAGTTATATTATTTGATGATACACATGGTATTAATTCTTGTTTTGCTTTAACAATTTTAGAAATGAAATTTGCAAATGTTGTTGATTGAGAAATACCAAAATTTGAAATTTGAATGATTTCTTTTTCATTAGTCCCTTCTGATGGTGTGTATTGTTTTACTTTTCTTACTGTTGCTAATTCACTGCTTCTTAAACGAGTTAAGGGGTCTTCATTTTGTGTTATTTTATTTGATACATGATCACTAAATAATAAGTCTTTACAATGAGTTTTATTAAAGCTCCTATTGTAGTTTATTTCTTCAATATCATATTTTCTTTTATGTAATTGAAACATGAAGCAAGAAAGGAAAGAATAAATTTTAAAAATTTTTTAGATTAATTTTAAGTTTTTTGTGAATGTTGAAACTTAAATAAATGAGATGAGATTTTTTGTTTTTGAGAAGATTGTTATTTAAAAGAAAAAACATAAAAATGAACTTAAAAAAAATAAACCAAAAAATTATTGGTAATCAATAACTTAATACACTCCATGATTATATTATTTCTTTTATTTTTTATTTCATTTGTTATTTCTTATGAGGTGAATATTTTTATGCTTCCACATGTTTTGTCTACATGGAAACAACCTGAATATAAAGCATGGGAAGATTGGAAAAATTCATTACAATTATATTCTATTTACTTAAAAAAACATGAACTTACACTAACAGTACCTACATTTTATATGAACCAAACGGTAGATGAAAATGGAACTACATTTGAAGAATTAATGAAAGAGTATAACTTAGTATTTATTGTTCCAAATAATAATATAACTATAATAGAAAAAATGGTTATTCCATGGTTAAGTAAAGAAGAAAGCACTCCAAAGAAGTATATTGGTATTCAATTTCATAGTGTTTATAATTTTGGATTTGGTGGTACTGACATTAATTATATGATTGAATTAAAAGAATTAGACGTAAAATTAAAAAATAAATACAAAAATTATGGAGGAATTGATGTATTAGATTATGAATTCTTTAAACAATATTATCAAAAACATAATTATAAAAATAGTTTATATCCATCTTTTAGAACAATATATTTTAATTATTTTAATTCGTATGAAAAGAATGAAATTAATAAAGCAATTCAAATATGTCAAGAAATTAATTCTTCAATATCACTTGATATAAGTGAAATTGATAGTGAGTATTTTATGGATTGTGACTCATTTATTAATGTACTTTCTTCTATTAAAAAAGCTGGAGTAACTTATAAATTATTATTAAATAGGTCGTTATGGTTAAAAGAATGGTTTGTCTTCCTTAACTTTTTTCATCATAAATGTGTACATCAAATTGAAAATATTTAAAGTAAAATGCAAGAAGATTTAATTAAAAATTATTGAATTAGATTTTATGTAAATTCTAATCATTTAATTTTTATGTTTTGTTTTAAATAAAATATTTATTTAAAAGACTAGTTTATTTATAATACTATCTTAACATATCTATAAAGTTGATGAAACAATTCTTTGAATCAAATGTTTAGCATGTGTATTTCTTCTTAATGAATCAATATTTGGTGAAATAAATGTTTCAATGAAATAATTTTTTTGATTAAAGTCCATCATTTCTATTAATCTTTGAATAACATAATTAGCATATGGATCACAAATCATTTCATTAATTTGTTTATTAGTAACATTACTATTACAAAGTTCATTAACAAGAATAATTTGTTCTCTTGTTTCACAACAACGAATACATTTTTCAACAACATTACTTGAATATTTTTTCATTGAATATTCATATAATTTGCCTTTAATATTATTAACTATTTCTACTCTTTGTTCATTAGTACCATATTGAATAAGATGTTGAATAACATAATTTCCATATTGGTTAATTGATAATTCCCATACATATTCAACTAATTTATCTGTTACTCTCTTAACACAATTTTGTGAATTTTTTTCTATTAATCGTTGAATAACTCTACAACCATATGGATGTTTAGAATATTCAACAGCCTTTGTATAAATTTCATCTATCATGAAATTTAAATCAATTTCTGAAGCAAAATCAATAAATTTTTGAATAACATGATTTCCATTTTGATCTTCAATAAAAGTTGAAACATTTGATTTAATTTCTGAAGAAATAATTCTTACTTCTTCTGGAGAAAGAACTTCAATAATTTTTTGAATAACACGACAACCATACATATGAAGTGATAATTTTACAACATTTCCTTGTAATTTTTCAAATAATAAATGAACATGTTTTTTTGTTCCATGTTCTACTAATTTTTGAATAACATAATTTCCAAATAAATCTATCATAAGTTCAATTGAATCTGAATAAATTAATCTAAATATTTGATCAATTTCTTCTTCTGTAGCAATTTCAAAAAATTGTTGTATTTTTCTACTTCCTTGTTGATCTTTACAAAGTTCTGGTAATGAATAACTTTTATTTTTATTTGGAAGTTTCTTTTGAAATGAAGGTTGTGTATTCATTAAATCTAAAACTCTACTTGAGAGTGTTAATATTTGTTCATTATTATTATTTTTTGTTATTTCATGTGAACATAATGGTGTTAAATAAGAAAACATTGATTCTTCACATTTTACAAATGGAATAATCTATTCATAAATATAATAAGTATTTTATTGTTTAATAAAATTATTTCTTTAACAAACAAAATCAGAACTTAAACACGCAGAATTACTTCTTTTTATTTTTTCATACGAATGTAATGGTATTGGAACAAATGACTCTAATGACTCTTTTATCTCACCAGAAAATATTTCAACATCTTCAGCACTTAAATTTTCTTCATCAGTTAAAAGAGAGATAATTGAATGAGTAACTACCCTCATTTATTAGATATAAAATGATTTACAGTTCTATTCATTTATAATTTACCCTTTTTTTCTTTCCTTTTGGAACTTTTCTCCTTTTTTCTTAAATTTCAATAACAAAAATATTGATAATTTTTTCTTTTTTTTATTGAACTTCTACTAACATTTTGACTTCCAGACTCTTTTGTTTCTTCATTGCTTGAATCTCTTAATAAAAAACCTGCAACTGTACCTATTTTATTCTTCACTAATTACATATATTTTTCTTTTCTCTGGTTTGGTTTATTTTATTAGAAATATACACACCTTAGATTATTTTTTAACTAATCTAACTCTTAATTTAAAGACTTGCAAAAAACATTTTAGGTTTCATTAATTTAATAAAAAAAGAAAGAGAGGAAAAACTATCGTTAGTTAAGCCAGATTCTTTGGATAAGAAGTATCACGACATAGTGGCATTTTTGATTCAACAAATAGGAAATTAACAAATACCAATAAAGTGCTTAAACAAAAAAAAAACAAAGTAAAAAATTATTCATTTGATTAAACAGAAAAATAAAAAACTTTATAGAAAGAAGAGTATACAAAAAACTGTAAGTGAATAATAATAATAAAGAGTCTAAAAATTAAAAGAAATAGATATTAATAATGAATAAATGGATTTATAATCAATAGATAAGAAAACACTAAAAGAAATTTGGACAAAACTAAGTAAAGGATGTAAAAGAACAATAACAAAAAATAAAAATATTTATCAAGTGATAATTTAATTATTTTATTTAACACTTTGAGTGTATTAGAAAATATGTAAAATAATAAGTGAATTAGAATATCATCATTAGATTTTGAAAGAATGGTTTAAATATTTCTTAAATTAGTAAAAATTTTTCTTTAAGTATATATTCTAAAAATATTTCTTATTGATGTTTGTTAGTTAATTTAAACAATTCTATTTAATTCATAATTATTAATATTCAATAACAATTATTAACTTCCATTAGTTATTTATTGTCATTGATTTAATTTGTTGTTGTTATTGATTTTTTTCTTGTCTTATTATTAAGGTTAATTCTTCGTAAATTTTGGTATTTTATTTGTTAACATGACTTTTTATGTTTATCCAAATTAAAACATCATTCTTGTTGTTATTATTTGTTATTGTTATCAGTTTATTATTATATAAATTTATTGAATAGTTTTATTGTATATTTAATATGAACTGTAATTATTAAAGTTAATAATTTCAATAATTCATATTTATAAATTATTCACAACGTAATAAGGATATGACAACACAAAATGACAAAGTAATTTACAATGTATTTATTGTTATTTTTTGTAATAAACTATATTTTTAAAATTACCTTATATACCAACGTTTTATTAGTTAAGTGAATATAGAATGTCCATTTCATATATCAAGAGTTAAGAAAATTATATTTTGATATTATTTATTCATTAGATTATTTCTTTTTTAAAATACAAACGAATCTATTAATATAAGATATTATTTTTGTATTTTCATTTGTATATAACAAACTATTTTATATTTATTTATTTTGCTAATTTTATTCATTTTTTTCATAGTTTAACATTTTTTTAAATAATACCCTTTTATTATCATATCTTCTTATGTATATTTCATATATAAAAAGTAACATATTGTTAATAATTTATACAATTTGTTATTTATTCTTATTATTCTTAGTCTTATTATTATTTCTGGTTAGTATTAATATAGTTTAATACATGATTTATTCAATATTAAAATGTAACTATTTTTTATTTTATATATACTCATATTTCATTTAAATTTACAACTTTTTATTGTCTTATTTGTATTTATTTAATTATGTCAATATCTATATCAACTAATTCAGTTTAACTGTTAAACTGTGTATAAAAAAGACATCTTTTCAAAAATATAAACAAAAAAAATAATAAATAGAAACTATTTTAAAGATAAAAGAACTTTGACGTTCCAGTTTAAATATTTACATGTAGAATATTCTTTTTAAGATAAGAATGTCTCATGGAACTCAAAATTAATCAAATGAATACCCAAGAGATCAGATCAAAGACTGAAGAAATTATCCAACACCTTCTTCAACAAGGAGCTAGTGAAGATGATACTAAGAATTTAAAGTCATTTCAAATTCTCCATAATGCTTATCTTGAACAAATAGATAAAAAGACTACTGGAATTGAATGGGAAAAAGTTGAATCACTTCCTAAAGAGTTTTCTGTAGATTACAGCACATTAGATAAAGATTTTACAAAAGAAGAGATTATAGAATTATTAAAGAAAATTTGTATTATTAAGATTAATGGAGGATTAGGAACATCTATGGGATGTACTGGTCCAAAAAGTGTAATTGAAGTTAGAAATGGATTAACATTCTTAGATATTATAATACTTCAATTAAAAGCATTATATCGTGAATATGGAGTTGTTGTTCCATTAGTTCTTATGAATTCTTTTTCTACAAATGTTGAAACAGAGAAGGTTATTAAAAAATATGAACAAGATAATGATGTAAGAATATTAACTTTCTTACAACATAAATTTCCAAGAATTGATGCACAAACTCTTCTTCCTGTATGTACTGAATTAAATGGAAGAAAAGAAGAATGGTATCCACCAGGACATGGAGACTTTTTACAATCATTTGTTGATTCCAAAGCATTCCAAACCTTAAAAGAAGAAGGAAAAGAATATTTATTCTTATCAAATTCAGATAATCTCGGTGCTATTCCTGATATTACTATTATGCATCATTTTTCTAAAAATCATTTGGATTTTGCTTTAGAATTAACTCCAAAAACTTTAAATGATGTTAAAGGAGGTACTCTTATTAGATATGGTAATAAATTAAAAATGTTAGAAATTGCACAAGTTCCAAGTGAACATGTTGCAGAATTTAAAGATATTAAGAAATTTAAAGTATTTAATACCAATAATATTTGGATGAATATGTCAGCTATTCAACATGTTGTTGAAAAAAGAACATTATTAAATAATATGGATATTATTGTTAACCGTAAAAAAGATGGACAAAGAGATGTCATTCAATTAGAAATTGCAGTTGGATGTGCAGTAAGTGCATTTGAACATACTACAGCATATATTGTTCCAAGGTCAAGATTCCTTCCAGTAAAAGCATGTAATGATTTATTTATTATTCAAAGTACATTATTTGGATTAAATGAATCAGGTCATATGGTTGATAATGCTAGAAAAGTATCAGATATTCCACCATCAGTTACATTTAGTAAAGATTTCCAATTTATTAGTGAGTATCAAAAACATATGCAACATATTCCTAATATTGAACATCTCAACTCACTTGTTGTTGATGGAAATATAATTTTTGGTAAAAATGTTAAGTTGGTAGGTGACGTAGTATTAAAAAATACTACAACTAAACCTATTCTATTGGAAGATAAGACTATAGAAAATACTACATTAACATTCTAATTTTCTAATTGAAAGAATTTCCAATGAG